AGTCAAAAGTGTATCCTCAAAAACTTACAATCAGCCAGTAAGTGGTGGAAAGTTTATTTGCTCAATTTCTGTTCTTGAGTCAAATTTTGAGGTACTTGTACTCTACTTGAGTATTTTAATCTGATGAAGTTAGAGAAGTCAACAATGAAAGCAGCAGTAACATGAGTGAGCAGTCCACGGAGAAGAGTGACTTAGTAATGAACTTTTGTCTGGAACGGTTACCTGGAATGGTAAACTCACCAAAGCTCTTTCTTTTTTGTTGAATGTGCAATCTGCTTGTTGTCTCTTTATGCTGCTACAGACGAGGAGGAGACTGCAGCTAACACGGAGATAAAGGTGAGATCTTTGAACCTTAGTGGTTATTGAGAAATACAAGCACATCTTTTTTAAATGCTACCTGTAGTTTCTGAAATTATGTCAACTTTTCAGCACTAACACCTGAACCTTTAGCTGAAGATCAGAGCTTTTTGCCTTTTTAGTGAGTTTGATCCAATTAAGCTCCTGGTTTGAAAATGGATAAGTTGAAAACACACAAAAATACAAAGCTCTTGCTAAGCTAAAGGTTTTCTAATCACCTGCTTTCTTAGTGTGATCCAGTGAGTGGTGCTAAACACTCAGACAAGGACGATGACAGCACAAGAGTGGGAGGAGACTCTGAAATCACTCCTGTAATACCATCTACAAACAACGAGAAAGGTGCATTTTAAAGAAAACTTTCATTGTATGGCAACGTAGATTTCAACTGTAAAATGATATTTCAATTTTATTGGTTTAAATAAAGTAGGGAACTTATTAATTTGTAATATGTACCCTTCAACAGGAGAGACTGATGAAGTTAAAGAGCTCAACCATGAAAGCAGCAGTAACATGACTGAGCGTTCTATGGAGGAGAGTGATGCTGTGAAGGACACAAGTCCATCATCTCAGACTGTTTCAGCAGAGACCAAAGAAGGTAAGACTTACTGAATTTTCTTTCTTTTATTTCAGTTTTGCAAAATCTGTTTCATTATGATTAAAATAAAACATATGCATATTTAGTGTAGAGGAGATACATCATGTTAAACAATACACTTTTTAAATATTCAAACAACCTTTGCAAATAAATCTTATTAACCTGGAATGGTCAAAGGACCGAAACAATTTCTTTTATGTTTGATCATGCAATCTGCTTGTTGTTTCATTATCTTGCAGTGGTGGAGCAGGAGGAGAGTACAACTAAAACAGAGATGAAGGTGAGATTCTTTGGCCCTCAGTTGTCATGGTCATGCAGAAGAATTTCTTATTTCAATGCTAACTATTTTTTTTTCTTAAGGTAAGTCAGAGTTCAGCACTAACACCTGAACCTTCAGTGTAAGATTAGAGCTTTTGGCCTTTTTAGTTCAGACTTGGAACAGAGTTTAATTCCATGTACTCATACCACTCTGCCTCCTAAATCCAATCCTTTTCCTCTGTGTTTGGTCAATTGATTGGCTTATATTAGGTGCAAATAGGCTGACCAGACGTCCCAAAAAATTCAGAACAGTCCCGAAATCCAAGCAGTTGTCCTGAATCCCAAATCTGCCCTAATTGTCATAAAAATGACACTAGAGCAGAGTCTGGAGTAGTTATTGCCTGATAAAACATTAAAACCTGATCATGGTGGTTGAGTCGTCATGCAGCTCCCACCGGCTGCACATTGGCTGCAGCAGTTCCTACATGAATTATGGGTGTTGTAGTTTTTAAATTGTATACAGCAGTGGCGATGAAGTAGATGAAGAGAGCGCAAGCTGCAGCCGCGAGGACAGGGAAAGCGCAGGCAGCCACTTGAAGGAGTGATTTGCACGTTGCAGTGCAGCCTCTTGTTCTGACTGTTCAAAACTGTTCTACAAACTTTTATTTTTTTATTGAGTTTAAAGGACAAGTGCACTCACATTGATCACTTCCATAAAATAAAACGAGAAATTGGAAAAGGAAAAGATTGAAAAAATTGTTAAAATTAAATTTGGGAACTGATCACAGATGTATTGTCTCTGTGCTTTTGCATCTTTTGTTGCTTTAATTTGCAGCTATGCTTTTAATGAAGCTGACATGTCATAACAGTCAAGCACCCCCCCGGTCCCGAATTACACCCATTCTCATGTGGTCCTCCGAACATTGTCTCTATAACTGTCCTGCCATCGAGGCTGGTGGATAAGGTAGATCGTGCCTTTGCAAAGCTCTGAAATAGCCTTCCACTCTCAATCAAATGCTCCCTCTCCATTGACACTTTTAAGACAAATCTGAAAACATACATGTTGTCAATGGCCTTTGGTTGTCTGTCATGATTTTAATATTCTATAATCTTTCACATTTGTAATTGTTCTTACCAGTTTTATTCTGTTGCATCTTTGTGTGCATTTTATATTGCTATGTATTTGTGTGTCATTCTTTTATTTTGTACAGCACTTTGGTCAACTGTAGTTGTTTATAAATGTGCTATATAAATAAACTTGATTTGATTTTTGATTTGATTTGAACCTCCTGGTTGGACACTTGGATGAATTGGTAACACTTTTGCAGAGAAGTTTAATATCTACTCACTAAAACACAAACATGTTTGCATCTAGTTGTGTATATTATCTACCCTTACTTTTTTTTGGTTTTGTTGTACTCTGAATTGGACTACCACAGTGTGTGGTTGACCTTCACATTCTTCATCTCAATGGTTCATGACCAGGTAAGCCAAAGGTTTTCTAAAATCACCTATTTTCTTAGTGTGATCCACTGAGTGGTGCTAAACAATCAGACAAGGACGATGACAGCACAAGAGTGGGAGGAGAATCTGAAATCACTCCTGTAATACCATCTACAAACAACGAGAAAGGTGCATTTTAATGAAAACTTTCATTGTATGGCAACATAGATTTCAACTGTAAAATGATATTTCAA